GGGTAAAACCCTGTTTTTTCGTAATAAATGCTGTTATCTATGGCTAAATTGTGTTATTAGTTGTAGATTGGCATCATCATTATTTTAAAACAAACCGTGTCCCTATGCATACGATATTTCTTTTTTAATAGAAGTTCAAAGCTTTTAGCCCCAAAAAGATCGATATCGAAGCAAGAATCGAGTTGTCGTGCACTTTTCCTATCCAGCGCATCCGTTTCGGTAAGTGCAGCATTGCATTCTGTACACTGAAAAAAAAAATTGTTAACTTGACTAAAACCGTTCAATTAATTACCATATCTTTAATTGAAATATTTATATATTTAAGTCAAATATACGTCATGTTAGATTTAATATGTCTTATTTGACTTAAATATATAAATATTTCAATTTAAAAAATGGTAATTAGTTGAACGGATTTAGTCAAATTAACAATTTTTTTTTCAGTATACATATTAGAGAGTATATCGTATTAGTTTTGATTGGCACTTTGTACGCCGGAATATACAACCGCCGTGTTTGTTATTTTCTTTGTGTTGGGGCAAAACCGGGTACTTACACATCTCATGTTATGAAAAGAGGAAGAACTGTTATCCTGACTTTGTCTCTCTACAAAGAGCAGTTGGAAACAAGAACTAACACTCAGAAAAAGAAATTATCAAAAAAAAGCTTTTTGAGACCTCTAAACTTGAAAAGTAAAATAAGAAAGTTCTGCAACAATGTCGAACAAGATGATATCTTTATTTGTGATTTTCATCAATAGAATACATCTTTATGTTATATTTTGATTAAAATAAATCTAGATTTTGTCATTACACGGTGTTTTGCATATTTTCAAATGGGTACTCGGTTTTACCCTACTGGTAGGACAAAACCGGGTACTTTGACTTCTCCATAAAATCTTGTTATTCTTGGTAACCAAAAATTTTTTTTCAGCAATTAGGCTTATTTTCTCATAGTTTAAGGTTTACTAAAGACTACTAAAGTCGGCAAAATTTTTTTTACTTTCAGATTTTTTGTAGAAAGACAAATCTAAAAAAGTACCCGGTTTTACCCTACTTTCCCCTATTTAGAGGACTTCTTGAAATATTATTTTATAATATTAATTTATTTAAACATTTTGCAGAGAGCGGAGTATTTTTTCGGAGTACTTTCTAATTGCTTGCTATTTATGGTTTTGTTATACTATAAATCACATACTATAATCACAAAGTAGTTCTATGTATTTAAAATGATGGTTTGTTGTTTTACTTCATTTTATTATAATTTTATGTCAATTTATAACGAGTGCTTCCTCCGTTGTTTAACTTCGTCAAAGAAGAAATGCGAGCACCGATATATGTTTTCTTCATTCAGAGAGGATAAAATTTATAGAGATTATTTGCAGAATGAAGCAGCAGACTGGTAAAAGTTGTCTTTTTGCAGTAAAATTCATGAGTGGGTAGATTGTTTTAAAGAAGATAAAAGAGATAAAATGAAGTGTGCGTGTGCACGCGCGCGCGCGCGCGCGCGCGCGTGTGTGTGTGTGTGTGTGTGACCGAAAAATTTCTCTTTTCCAGAACGGAATTCATAAGCTTATTAAGATATGATATAATTCTAAATGTAAAAAAATGAATGTACTGAAATGACCCTCTTGGAATTATGCAACTTTTATATATGCAACAATTTTTCACAAAACATATAATTTACAAGTTATTTAGGTGGCCTATTTTAAGTGCCTCATCCTATATGTATATATTATTTATATTTGGATAAATATTTTTTATAGTGTAAAATATTTCTACTAGCTTCTCTATAACATGCTTTGTATTTTATTCAACTTATGAATACTCGGCTTTACGAAAATTTACCATACATGTAGAATAGATATGTGTAATTTAATATGCAACGTGAAATTCAAGAAATTCATAAGAACGCATTATTTGTTTGGACCGAAAAATTTTTCTTTTCCAGAACGGAATTCATAAGCTTATTAAGATATGATATAATTCTAAATGTAAAAAAATGAATGTACTGAAATGACCCTCTGGGAATTATGCAACTTTTATATATGCAACAATTTTTCACAAAACATATAATTTACAAGTTATTTAGGTGGCCTATTTTAAGTGCCTCATCCTATATGTATATATTATTTATATTTGGATAAATATTTTTTATAGTGTAAAATATTTCTACTAGCTTCTCTATAACATGCTTTGTATTTTATTCAACTTATGAATACTCGGCTTTACGAAAATTTACCATACATGTAGAATAGATATGTGTAATTTAATATGCAACGTGAAATTCAAGAAATTCATAAGAACGCATTATTTGTTTGCATATTATAAAAGATAATTAAAAAGATTATCTGTTGAGAGAATAGTTATGGAAATTCAGTCAACTCATCGATATTAGAGTTTAATTAGTCAATCAGATGCACGTGAAAGAATCTCGAACACTTAATGGCACTCACATAATTCGCGACATAATTCTATATTCTTAATATATTTTATTTCTTATATTACCGTCTCAATATTATAATTTTATCTTTACGATCTTCATATTATCTGCACAGTTATAAAAAATATATTGATAATAAAAATTAATATAATTTATATTAAGAAAATTTATAGTATCTTTATCTTTATAAAAAAAGTTAAAAACATATTTATGCATAATTTTGTAATATATTTATATTACGAATTGTACATTTTAACATATATTATTGATTGGAAAATATTTCGAGAATTGCAGTGGTATCATTTGGATAACATTTTGCCAGTCTTTCATTTGGCACATAATGGTGCCTTCGAATTTACAAAAGTATCGCGCTATCTCTACATTATCGATCCATTTTGGTGGACATATCGATATATCATCTGAAATGAAAGAAAGATGTATTTTATATTATACGAATAAAAGATCATAGAAGATATATAATTTATAATAATATTATAATTTACGTGAACAGAAGTGCTGCTGTCCGCAGCATTCGCTCAGATGTGGGACTATAGAACTTAATGATTTACATATGAACAAAGCATTACAGTTAAAATGCCAACCAATTATCACGCCATTGTGATCATTATCTAAATACGACGAATGCGT